GCTGCCACTATGTCCTAGACGTCGAGATTGGGGAGTGGGTCCCTTCTACATCCATGGGGGCCGCTGAGTATTAATAAGGTAAGAACTCAATAACCTTTTTTATCGTGAACGGTGCCTTTAAAACAGCTCAACTAGTACAATGTTTCGAAGCAGCTATGGAGTGAAACAAAAACTAGCTAATGGGCAGAGCTGGGGTAGTGGCAAAAGGCGCACCATCATACACAAAGGTCCAGAGACCGAGTCATGGTTCAATACCTGCTTTGATCAACTGAGCCTTCCATTCTTCAGGATCCAGACTCGTCTGGGAAAATAAAAGAGCTATACAAGTGATACAAGAAACTAGTGGGAAGATAATGGATGTTACATAAGGTGGTTATTATTCTCAAATTATTCTATAGCCCACATTCACTAAAGAGACGGCACATTGGCTCTGGATGGAATTCGAAAGCGAGGAGCTTCTTGATAACTTGATTTTACCGATTTTAGACGCTTATCGAGTGAAGCACCTCATTGTCAGAAAGGTCACCCAGGTTCCAGCCCTAATTCATTTTTTTACTTTTTCTTTTCAGTACCCACTACGGTTTCCTCCTTATCCGTGTATCGTCCTCACTGCTCAAATTGATCTCTATCTGACATACACCGACAATACAGGGACAGAGGTCAGGCAGCTTTATTTTTTACATTCACTTTATCTAAAAAATCCTAATAACAACACAAGACCTTTGGGTTCTTCACAGGACACTCATCTTCTTTTTAGGTTGACACAGTCGTCCACGTATTACCTACGTCAACTGTTGACGAAGATCAAAGCACTTGTGGGAAACTGTTGACTGTACAAAATCAATCAATTTTTAGTCAAATTCTTCACATAAACCTTGACCAGGTGAGGAAAAACTTTTTAATTTTGAACATACATTTGTCGAAACAGGGCGGAGGTGGTGTAGTGGCAAGTGGCGCACTATCTCACACGCCCGCCTAGACCAGCCAAACCTCCTATCCCTCCGGGGTCGATCAATTGGTAACGATTTTGAATAGAAGTAGAGTGCGGGGGTGCATCACTCAGACGGGATTGATTAACGCCAAAAAACTTTATCATTTATATGTAAAAACTGTTAATAAAATCGTTGTCCTTCCCATACATACTTCCGAACATAGACGATTCCCAGTGCTTCCTATTCCCGTGCCTGTACTCGCATCCTTTCAGAACTCTAGGGAATTGCTTCTTTGTCTTGGATGTCCATGTTGTGTTTTTCTGCCCTTTTAACGAAATATCATTTTGTATGTGTTTAGTATCGAGGGTGGAGTGTGCGATTTGCGTTCACCAAGGACAGTCGTCTCAACGCTGCAGGCGAGTTTGCCCTCTACCAGGTGAATGTCACTGCGGACTACCCAGCAACAAAGACGTTATTTACGAATGCTCCAGGTAAAGAACCTTTATTATGGAAACCAATTCAATGTGTAGAATAAAACCTTAAAGATCTAGCAAACCATCAGATTCTGTCTACAACTATTTCTTGCCTGTCGACCTGAAGAATGTACCGACAGTAGCGGACACGATTTATGCGCATTTGAACAAATCGTTTGCGTGCACAGCAGCACAAAAGTTCATTATCAACAACGATCCGAAGAAAGGACCATTGGCCTCGTGGGTCGTTTTCGCCTTCATTAGTTGATGTATATTTGGATGATAAACATGATGAAATGAGAAGATACATAAACAGAGGGTAGGGTATGGACCAACACACAATGTGGTTTTATCCTTACATTCCTACATTACTGTGAACTAGAATGCCAGATCGTGCTCGTCAGACCTGAAGTTCCTTATACTCGGCTGTCTCAGCTGTCCTTGAATAGACCACATTTTGCTCCCAATTGATCCGATGTTTTCCCTTTTCAAGAGGCATCTTTGCTTCCTCCGCTTCCATAGGTCGCCGCTTTCTGAATTTTACATAGTCACCAGGTAAAAGTAGTTAAAGAACCAATAAATGTGAAAGAGATGTAGCCATCAGAGGCGAAGTAGTGGCAAAAAGTGCTTCAATACGCGCATTGTTCGTGACCGAACCCCGGGTTGCCGTTCGCCCGGACCACCGGAACTCCGTCTAGGGAATGGTTAATTGTAGTAGTTGTACACCTGTCCTCAACTTCCTCTGTTAGCGCACTCAGATGAGTGTATAAGTAAATAAATAAATAAATAAATAAATAAATAAATAAAAATGTATATATAATTCCCGTCCGACAGGGTAAAGCACTAAATTGCTCATTTTTGGCCACTGCAGTTCATTGCATAGACCACATAGGCATTCGAAACGTATTTCTGAGGGATTCTGAATGGTATTTGAAAACGGGAGCATTTCAAAACAGATGTATTGACGCGAAGGATCATTGCTCCAACAGAGCTCATTTGTTTTGCTTTCATTCCGTTACTGAACTAATGCCTGCCATGTTTACTTATGCTGTTGTTGTATGTTTATGCCTTGTTTCTGCTGTTCTTTAGATTCAAATTATCATATCTACAAGTGGAAGCTTTCAAAGTAACAACACCCCAAGGCGACAATAAGTTCGATGAGAGTGAGTTGGTTGTTTACAACGAATTTGCTGTAACCTAGTCGTTGTCCATAACAAGAAGTTCATCTTTTCATCTTAAGAAGAGATCTGTCCGCGAGATCAGAATGTCACAGACATAGTCCCAATCATCGTTGGCAGTTGCCTAGCTGGACTCATTGTGATCACAATGGTCACATACCTGGTTTGTTTTTAAAAATTCTTGCGTTAAGACACTTATTTCTGAAGGTTCCCACTGGTATGAGCAGCTTTGAAGTGAATCTTCACTGATCTTTCAGCATGCTCATGCAGTGCTGACTACACGTTGGACGTGTGAGCACATTTAGGGTGAAGGGTTCAAGAAGGTTTAGGGAAAGTTCAGGGAGGGATGGAGCGAAGAAACGTTTGGAAGATGGAAGCATCTGTTCTGTAGAAGTAGTTGCCTCTGCTCTCTTCTTCCGGCTACCTCTACAGCGCGATTTCCTCACCTCCATCTCTAGCTTAGAGAGAGTGACGATATCTTCCAGCCAGAGTCAGGTACAGGTTCTTCCTCCTCCTCCTCCTTTCTTTTCTTGACAGCCATTGCAGTGGTGATGAAGTCGGCTATCTCATTCAGCACCTCTCCAAATCGACCTTGACCCTGCGAGCTAAAACACATTCTCTATCAAAAAGGTCGCTGAATTTTCTCGGAGTCGGAGCAGGTGTTCAGCACGTCTACCAAACATTTTGAGGTTCAATATTAACCAACACCGACCGTAATTCCGCTTTCCCTCCCCTAGGCATTAGCGTGCTTCAATGATCAGTTTGGAATTAGAGTACATCCCACGAGCGTCAATTGTTCAGTTGTTTTTTTTTCGCGGAACAGCAACTTTTAATTGGAACTTTCATAGATCTATCGATGCCAACTACCATCGGAAGTGCTGCAGCTTACTGGCACCCATTCGAGATCATCTCACGTAGGACCAACAGACCATCCTTACGTCATATCCACGGACACCGACTTTCGGCTAAATTCTCTTGAAGATTGAAATAAATCAATTTAAATCAAAGCAGCTTGCATTTGTGATTGTAGATGATGCCTCTATTGCGAAAATATGTTCCTGATAGTGAAATATACTGTTGTACTTGATACGTGTTGTCTAGGTTTCAACAAAACGAAGAGAGACTGAGACAGTAGGAGATCAGTTTGTTTTTGTAACAACAGATAGTCGCCGTGACCCCGATGGCCCAGGAAAGGCGTGCCATGTGCAAACAGTATGTACCGACCTCAACTGCGAGCATGCACTACCAATTCTAGTTATATACGGCTTGAGAAAATCAAATAAACTCAGTTTATTTCTCAAAATCAGAGTGGACTGATTTTCGCAGGGAAGCTCGTCGAAGAACTCTATAGTGCTACCAAAGTACTGTGTTCGCTACTGATGATGGGAAGGGGAGAGAACGCTATCGACCATCATCATCTATCGACTCATCCTGAGCTAAGCCGCGCATCTATATTCTTTCAAAATTGTTGAGCACCTAAAGCCGTATTTGTTGTGAACAATGGCTCTGTAAAAGTAGCAATCGATTTAATTTGTTCATCAAAGTGTCTAATTATAAAATCGTAGCGAACTATGCAAGACAAACTGTTGGCTCTAGTGGTAAACTCATCAGCTCTCCTTGCAGTAGTTCTAACATTCAATTCTTATTTACCGAGGCTTCTTTTATCTACTTAGAAATACTCAGAATAGCCAAAATATGATCTGGAATGGAAGCGTTCATCACGATGACCACGGATATGATAAAAATACTCTGAAAGCACCCTACATATAAATAAAATGAAATTCGACCAGCATTTGTACCGCCTGCTCTACGTTCGGTGTTGTAAGAACGAACTCGTCTGCAAGGCGGATGTGATCCACGTAGCGGTCGTTGACCTCCACTACCTCTCTCCATCTTCTTCCTCTTGATCTTTCCACTCCGATTTACGCATGATGCTCTCGAAAGCGACTTTGAAGAGCTTGGGCAAATTAGTATCGTCTGTCAAACTCTCGCTTCACGTTTACAGTGACTTCCATGCAGAACGGTAATATCCTCTTCATAAAGTTGCCGTGGAGCTCACGAAACATCCTTATGCACTGAGTAGGAACATCCTGGTCGAAGGCATTTTTTCAAATCGATGAACGTCGGCCACAATGGCGTGCTGTTTTCTTGCGATGATTCCATGAATCCTGCAACTGTGTGGACTGAGGTCGATTGTACTGAACACTCTCTGTGTAACGCTTGAAGAGCCCAGCCAGAGTTCTGTTGACAAACTGGTGGAAGACTGTGAAGGTGCTCTGGTTCGATCCTACCGGGACCGGGCGCCGTATATCAACTACTTCTCCATCGACGTGATGGCATGCGTTAAATGTTCCGTCAAGACAATGAAGCTCTTTTAGGCCTTTAATGGCGGAACTCCGAGGTCTTTACAAATGTTTCACAGACTTCATGTTTTTTCTCACAGCATAACCCTACCTAAACACACTAACTCTTAGTAGGACAAATTTTTGAAGAGAGACCTTGGGCAAGGAAACGGGTAGAGTACCAGGGATAGCAAAGGAGTTACAATGCATTTCAACCACTCATTTGAACAAGGATTCATGGCTGAATTAGTGTAATGCTGAATGCTGTTATGGAATTCCGTGTCTGTGTCGAGTGCGTATTGGTAGTAAGCTACCTGATCCCATGAACAGTAATATGAGTACTATAAGCAAGCTGCCTTTATAAACAGCTGAAATTTCTTGTATCTACACTCAAACTATTAGGTTGATGCATAATTATCGGGATTTTTTCGCTTCTTTTTCGCTCTCGATGAAATTAAACTTTGATCTCGAGATTTTTGTAGAAATAATCTTTTCGCTTTCCTTTACAGAGATATATCTAGAAAATCATCTTCATTTACGTTAAATTATGCTCTATTACTTCGAGAAATGTTGGAAGGCACTCATAACGTGATCTCAACGAACTTGAAGGATGTGTTCCGAAGCAATTAATTGAACATCCCTTTGTTGGATATTTTTATCGTTTCTTCAAGTAAAATTTGCTGAAAAAAATCCGCAATAAGTATACACAACCTAAAAGAAATGCGACTCTATAAAAATTCTTCACTTTATAAAATAAAATTTAGAGATATGATCTAACCTTCCTACTTTATATAATTCGCTAAGTGTGTCTGTTGGTGTGTCGGTGTGTGTGTGTGTCGGTGTGTGTGTTTGACCGGAAATTCATAACTCCTGTTCCCGTGGATCTAGAAAGCTCAAATTTGGTAGAATTACGGAGAGC